ACTATTGAACTCCTCTTCTTAGTATTCTTTGTGACATCTGTGTGAAAGGCCTGCAATCAGAGATCAATAGCATTCTTTTATTCTGCTACTGAAGCAGAGTTAAGAGCTGTTTTTATATTATTATAACATCTGACTGATACACTCATAAGAATGTCTTTCACTTTGATATAATTATACAGTGTCACTTGGCTTTTGACACTCTCATACTATTCATCTGTGTTCTGTCAGACTTCTGTAATTATAATAGCATGCTTTTCAGTCATTGCTTATGAGTAAGTTTATCTCAAGTCAGGTTTATCAGTGAATTCTTGAGTGAGTTATTTGATTCTGCTGATGAGCTTGTCTGATTCAGTGAAAGAAAGTGACTGATAGAAGCTGCTTCAAGTGATTCATCTGTTCTACTTCATTATTATGACAGAGCTGATAAAGTTATATAAGAATGTGAAGATGAGTTTACTGTGACTGTGATTACATTCTAGACTGATCACTAGTGCTATGATGTTCTGAAGTGAAAGATGCTCAAATGATCATTAGTCAGATCTATCATCAGCTGTAGTATTGAATGAGATAGATTTAAATGACTGCAGACCAGATCAATCACTAGCTATAGTATTGAAAGAAGATAGAGTAACTAATCAGACTGATTACTGACTAGTCAATTCTTAGTATTCACAGCCTGATTCAATCATCAGTGCTATGTATATCAAGAGCAGAGTGAAAGTTAAAGAGACTAGAAGAACTTAATTCTTAATAAGACATGCTATCAAATTGTAGTATATGCTGCTACATAGAGTCAGATATAAGAGTAAAAACTTGTCTTATTCTCTTAAAGATGGGAGATGAGTGTACACTCTTATATATACATTCTCTAAAAGATGAGAGATGGGCGTACACCCTTATATATACAGTGATTGTTTTATAGAGATTAACTCTTGTAGAAGGAGCAAATGCTCTCATAGAAGAAGTGATTGTATATGAAGAAAAGAATGAAGGCTCTGTAGAGAAGGAGTGAAAGCTCTCATAGAAGAAGTGATCGCCTATGAAGAGAAGAACAGAGGAAGAAGGTAGAAGCGGAAGCTTCAGAAAACAGCAAGAGATGGAGCGGAAGCTAGAGCTGAATAGAGGATTGACTTGAATAGAGGGCGGAAGCACGCCACATCTAACCTGTTAATACACACTTCAACAAATCATTCTTCTAACCTGTCAATACGCACAAAACCTCATATATTTCATGTGTGATTATCTACGTTTTCATATAGCTATAACAGCTATCTGAAAATCAGAAATCTGAAAAGCTCTTAGACAAGCTATTAATTGAATTAAATATCAATTCAACTGTACTATAAAGATCATTTATATTAACAATGATACTGCAATCAAGAAAGCAGATGATTTCACAAATTGAGTGAATAATGAAGGTCTAGAGATGAAGTATTCTTCAGAGTATATTCATGAGTAAAATGATGCAGCAGAGTGAGCAGAAGCAATATTAATAACAAAGACAAGAACTTTACAGATAGAATCTCTTCTATCATAATCACTTTTCTCTGAGATTGTACTTACTGTTATCTATCTAGTGAATTAAACCTCTACTAGAATTCTAGATTGAAAGGCATCTCTACAAGCTTTGAAAGAATTTCTACAAATCAAATCTCACTTCTATGCTTATCTTTGAATCTACAGATGTTGCATCTATACAAAGATACTGAATGAAGTCCTCAATAGAAATCACTCTCAGAAGCTAGATTTTTAAGCATATATTGAATATCTAGTTGAATATGATTCTACAAACATCTATTGAATTTGAATTCCACACTTAGAATGAGTGATAAGAGCAAGAGATGTGATATTTGATGAGAATAGAAAATTCAACTCAGAAAATCTTCACATTGAAAGACAACTAAGAGATTGAGTATCTAAGAAGATGAAGCTTCTATATATGAAAGTTTGAGAATCATCAATGACTTCTATCAATCAATTGAAAGAGATTATAGACACTGCAGATATTGATGTTTTTCATTCTGAAGAAAATACTCAAAGCTCTGAAAAAATAGAGGAGAAGAATAATGAGAATAAATACTATAATATTTTAATTCTTTCTAATGTTTTGATTCTTTCTACACCAGATTCAATACCAGAGTCAATAGATCTCAATGTTGATATTAATACTTATTTAACTGTGATAGATAATTGAATATGAAACATTGCATCAAGAGCTCATGATATCAGTGCTGACTTTGATGAAGTAAATATCATAGATGACTGCAGAACCTAAAAACACAAAGCTGCTCATCTTATAATAGTTTTAAATGTTAAAAACAATTCATTATAAATAATCAATGAGATATTCTCTTAATCATACTCAGACTTCTATAAGTCTTAAAAGTTATTTTCTAATACTGTTTTTACAGTTATTAATAAAACAGCTATATCAAGAATTTATAGATCTCAACTGTCAGATTCACTGAATCACTGAGCAGATATTGAAAAATATCTATATTACAAAGAATTTGAGAACACTGTTAAGCAGAAATGAGATAGTATATCTCTGCAGAATACATATGAAATTACTAGCAGATTACAGAGAGATGTCTTAGTTATCTTTTTATAATAAGTATTTATCTACAAATTCAATGATGAAGGTTTTCTTTTAAAATACAAAGCTTGTATCTATATATATAAAGATCTTCAATCAATTATAGATCTTACTATAAAAGTCTATATACTAACTATCAGAGATCTCTGAATCTTATTAGCTTTAACAGCAGTATTTAATCTAGATATGAAATAACTAGATAAAATCAATGTTTTCATTAATAGTGATATTAATGAGCTAGTATATATGAAACTATCTAATAAATAATAAAAGTTAAAGAAGATATAAAATTTGAAGTATATAAATTATGTACTAAAACTTCTATAAGTACTATATAAATTATATAGATCATCTCTTCTCTGATTAAATAAACTATCTTTAATATTGAGAATATTAGACTTTATCTTTATATCAGAGAATTAATGTCTCTTCTCTAATAATTAATTAATTATCTTCTTCTATATAAATAATATCATCATTCTATTATAATAAGAAGATTTGAAAGAAAGAGATTAACTAATCAAAGATCTTAAAAATATATATAAGATTTAATAGATAAGAGATTTAAAATAATTCTTTAATATATAAATAATATATGATTATCTCAACTTAAAGCTCTGACTATGTCAGAATATCTATATTAATAAGATAGTTAATATATATTATCTTATATATATCTGTAAGATATATACTCTACTAACTGATACTCTGTTAAAGTCTTTTAACAAGTCAGTTATATCTGTAAAAATTCATTATTATTAATAATATATCAGCTTCTGCATCTATACAGCAGTAATAACTTACTCTGATATTATATATACAGTGAGTAAACTAGCTATATTTATAATAAATTCATCAGAACATTACTTATCAGAGATGAATAGAATGATATCTTATCTATATAATATAAAGAATCTCACTATTTAATATAATGATAATATTGACAGATCTTTACAACTTGATCTCAAATCTAATATTATTAAAATTATCAGTAATATCTCTTTCACAGATAATTCAGATCACTGCTCTATATAAGAATATATCTTCAAACTATTCAGTGAGACTGTTGATTGAAAATTAAATAGATAGATAATTATAACTACATTTATTACAGAAGCTGAGTTTATTACTATTTTATAAGCTGATAAGAAGTCTATCTAATAAAATAGATTCTTTTAATATATTTAATTTAAATCTGATTATAAGATTTATATTCAATGTAATAATTATCAAACTGTTAACATTCTTATAAAGAAAGATTTCTCTATAATTATAAAGCTCTGTTATATTGATATATATAGAAGCTGACTCTGAGAACATGTTCAATCTGGTGATATTACAGTTGATTGAGTGCCTACAGCTCAGATGTCAGTGAATGGCCTCACTAAGACTCTGCCATGCCAGAAATATACAGAATTCATCAAGATACTAGGCCTAGTTGATATATCAGATATTATTAAGATATAAGTAGAATAAATAATCTATCTTGATATAATCTCTACAGATTCATCTACACTCTTTTTATTACAGATTCATCTACACTCTTTTTATTACAGCTTTATTTACACTTTCATTTACTTATTACATTTGCTGAAGAGAGTGTGTCAGAAAAAAGAGATTATATACTACTGAATATTATCAATATTGTATTACTATAATATTTCTCATTATTATCAGCTTACTACAACACTCATCTAATACTCACTTATGCTAGCTCTCTTGGCTTGCACATATATTTTACTATAAATAGCTCCATCTTTTGTATGAAATAGATATATTAGATAGTGTATGGATAATATAACAAGCAGATCTTGATACAAATAAGATTCATATGTCTCCAACATATTCATCCGTGACACCCAATCCGACACGGTTTAAGGAAACCAATATCTCGTTTGTACATGTACAGCGTATATATGGAGTAGACAAGGAGCAGCTCGCCCAGAAATCTAGTACATACACTACATACAATGCACTATTTAAGCGTCTGTCCCCCACCCTTGTCAAAAGAAGAAGGACCTCTTTCCATGACACATAGTTATGGTGTAGAACTATGTGTCGGCCGAACCGCTAACTCCCAGAGGTGTACGTAGTAGGTAGTTTTGAGAAATTTCACCTAGGACCAAATATGGCAAATATGATTTTAGCCCTCCGCAACCTCAGCCATGAATCGAATATTGCACTCTACAGTCTTGGACGGGAATGCTCTGTTCGCAAAACCTCATCAGATGCCATTTTTTGCGGCGCGACGCCAAAGACGTTCAGCCAATTATCTCCCCACCGACGGAAAAGGGAATAATCGATATTGGTAGCATTCGCTCCTCGCCTACGTTCGAGATAATATAGAGAGAGGTGCCCCCGATAAGCAAGGCGCGCAATTGATTCTTGTCCAGATTAGCTGGCGATGGCGTTCGTTCTCCCACCAGCTGATTTTGCTGGTCCTCCTTCCAATTCTTCGGATCGTGCCATTTCAACTTGCGCTTCATCGGAAGCTGCGGGTTATGATGCCTCAGTGCACAAGAGGCCTGAGGAAACAGTAGAGGAACCTTCAAAAATCCCGCTAGGAGGGTCGATCAATGACTCAGTTAAAGAAAAGTTGAATCCCCCGGCTCCTCCTGGGCTATAGTCAAATGTGAATGAAGGGAATAAGAATCCCGACCATGCTGAATCTCAATCTGTCAGAGGCTCAGAAAGCGATGAAATGTCCTACCCTGAAGGGGGCCTCAGGGCATGGTTGGTTGTTGTCGGATCTTGCTTCGGAACTGCGGTCTCCCTTGGGATGATGTGAGTCGACTTTCCGAAAACAAAGTGGAAAAGCAATGTTCACTGATTAATTTCTATTATAGGAACACAGTTGGCACCTTCCATTCGTACATTGGTGAGCATCAACTCAAAGAATACGATGAGGCCACAATTGGCTGGATTTTCAGCGTCTTCATCTTCCTCGGTTTCTTCGGTGGCATTCAAATCGGACCCGTGTTCGACGCTCGGGGACCCAGAATGCTTATGCTTGCCGGCAGCGTCTGCATGGGGACTAGCATGCTACTTCTCGGATCATGTACTGAGTTCTGGCATTTTATGCTTTGCTTTGGCGTGCTTGGTGGCTTGGGTGTGTCTTTAATGGTCACTCCGGTGCTGGCAGCAGTAAGCCACTTTTTCCTCGAAAAGCGAGCAACTGCCACGGGCATCGCGGCAGCTGGGGGTTCACTGGGTGGCATCATATTCCCGCTAGCTTTGCAGAAGCTATTCTACAAGGTTGGGTTTGCTTGGGCTACCAGGATCATCGGGTTCGTTGTCATCTTCTGTTGCGCAGTCGCAGTAATCCTCGTTCGCTCGCGATTACCTCCCAAGCCCGGACAAACGGTTATGCCCAACCTAAGCATCTTCCGAGACCAGTCGTACCCGTCGCTTACGTTGGGGATATATTTCATGGAATGGGCGCTTTTCGTTCCAATAACCTATCTTACTTCCTTTGGCCTATCCACAGGCGCCATGTCACAGGAAATGTCATATCAGCTCATAGCAATAATGAACGCGGGTTCCTGCATCGGGCGGTCAGTGCCTGAGTACATCGCCGACAAGCTAGGTCGCTTCGACAGCATGATTGCTGCACTTGTTCTTTGCACAGCAATGACTCTAACCCTGTGGCTCCCTGCATCAATCCTTACCACAGGCGATTCCTACTCCTCCTCCGTAATCGTTATCAAGGCACTTTCAATCACGTACGCGCTGATTTTTGGCTTCGCCTCTGGTTCCAACATATCATTGACTCCAGTATGCGTCGGGCAGCTCTGCCACATAAATGACTATGGAAGGTACTTCGCAACCTGCTATAGAATTGTCTCATTTGGCACACTCACGGGTATCCCGATTGCGGGGAGTCTTGTTCGAGTGACCGGTGGACGCTATTGGGGTGTCGTCATTTGGACTGCGGCTTGTTATATCGCCTCCTTGGGCTGCTTCATCTGGAGTCGTGCTTGCCGCGTGGGTTGGAAGTTAGGAGTGAAGTTCTAAATCAGCACTCAGGTCGACGTGCTGTATAATTATAGTGTTTATATAAGTTATCGGCCGCTGCTAGGAATCCAAGGCCCTTAAAAAAGGGATGTAAGTCGTATAGAAATGTTTTGCGATGTCTTCAGCTAGGGAATTTCAAGCAATATTCCGGATACTTCCCTGGTAGGCGTAAGTAGGAACCTGCTATTGTCCCAGGAATCTCTGATTCTCACAGCAAATCGTACTTGTAAGGCAAATCTTCTCGTCACATCTTCCAGGCCCCTGTCCCTTTTCTCTCAAAATTGGGGTGATGGGCAATATAGTAGTCAATATAATGATATTTGTGGTACCCCTCACGACAATGCCCCAGAAGGGATATTTTTTATACTCAACCATATTACGGTTGACTGGTGGAATGAATAGATGGCTAAGGAGGCTACCATGTAGTAAGTAAATTCAAACAGCTAAAGGCTTAAGGGTAAATAAACTCATCGAGTTAAGGGTTCTACCCCAAATTTTATTCCGTCAGTGGTTACTTGATTTCTATCCCCTAGGGAAATAAACGTGCATCAGTGTCTAAGTCAGCAAATAAATGGGAATATCAGGAAAAATAAAGTAACAAGAACAATGGTTATCCAATCCCGCACTTCTCAAGAATAATCAACCTACAGTCCGCCCACTTTTCCTCGCCTCATGCTCACTCCACTCTACCCATCTCTTCACGCACGCGTCAACCATTCTCAACTGCTCCCTATCAGCCTTTATCTCAAACCATTCCTTATGTTTCTTTCCACAGCGCTCGCACGGCTCTTGCAACTTGACCCTCCTATCTGCAAGCTCCAAATGCACCAATCGCTCTACTTTATGCACATGCGGCACCTTCCGAGGGGGGAGTGGTGCACCCGGGTGCACAGATGGTGACGAAGGCACGTACGGATAATACCGCATTAGAGTAAGATTATGACCGCATTGTTCCTTCCACTGATTCATTCGGCGGTGGACGTTGGCTGCGCGGCCAATTTTCAGAGTAATTGTGTCTGTAGCTTTGGTTTCTTGCGACCCCTGTACTTTATTTGGCGCAACGCCGGCGGAGCGCATGATTTCGCCTGTGTTTCTTCTCCTAATGCCATTGCCAGGTGATGTGGGTAGGAGAGATGAGGCGATCTCCGCTGCTGGTGGGGAGGTGGCCTGAGTGTGTGAAGTTACCCAGCACATGTATATATATCCCGGCTCGTCTGAGTCAGATATTGGCTCCGATAGATGCTTTAGAAGAGTGGAATGAGTCATCGGTGAGAGATAGCTGGGTATCCAGCGTAGAAGGGCATCCGTCTCTGATATAGTAGAAGCGGGGCTGCTCTGCAGTGATGGCTGCCTTAATCTTGCTGGCGAAGGAGATGGAAATTGCGCGCTAGTTCTAGGTCGGCGCTCAGGAGTTGATGGTTGAGACACTGAAAGTTGTGTAGATCCGTGAAAATTTGATGCACGGGATGGGCGTGAATGCCTTCCATGAATAGTATCTGCGGATTGAAATGGAGGCTGGACGGCTGGTGGTCGAGAAGATATATTGGAAGTTCCTGATTCGTTATTTGAAGCCGTGCGACGATGTCGCACTCTCGAAACGACGATTTCTTCATCGTCGCCCATACCCATAATAAAACGAACGATTTTTCCTCCAACGCTGGATTTGCTGCTCGATTTCAATTTATATTTAAGTAAATGAGTTCTTGACTGTGCGGAGCTAAGCGGTGCATTGTCGGCAGGTTGGCAGACATGCACCCCTGGAGTATCCATTGAGTGCCTCCTTGTTCCACGGCGCTGGATGGTATGCCCGCCAAGAGGTAGCTCTGCGCGAATGGGTGCTTGCTGCTTTCTACGGGCAGACGCGGTGTCAAAAGCGTTCCCCGCTGAAGCAGGGCGGCGTTGATCATCAACATCCAGCAATTGAACCCTCTCCACCAGAGTTTCAATACTAGATCGCAATTTCAACTTCGAAGCGGGTTTAGGTGGTTCCGTGGAGGCTGAGTTGATATGGACCTCCTGGTCTTTGTGCTGCCAGCAAAATGCAGCAGTGGTGATGCTGCCAATTTCACTCTTCCCTGCAATCACTCCTTTTGACGGCGAGGGAGGAGGTGATAATTTGGCTGAAACTACAGTCCGACGACACTTCTGTCCATCAGCCCTCAAGCCCCGGCATGTGGTTGCTGGGTTTTTCGAATCGGTACGAGCAAGCCGATATTCAGGTGTGTTGTGTGGATGAGACATAATGGACGCGGGCTGTAGAATATATAGCGTCACAGGGAGCAATACTTAAAAGAAAAGGAAAGGAAAACAAGAAGTTCCTGAAACTTCGGGACGTTTTAATAGATGCGGAAGCTGGTGGGTTGTGTCGTTCGGGAGAACCTCTCGGAAATGAGGCACAGCAACGAGGCTGAGAAGCAAAATGCAGCTTCGGAAGGGGCTTAGCCAGGTTTCGCCAACAGCCACAGTCCCCAGTCTGCATGAGTTGGTTAAAACGGGCCTCCAGGTGCAATCCGCGGCTACTCATTCATTTTTGGGCTGTCTACGGAGTACTCTTGCAAGACTCGACTTAGTATCTATCTGAGCTCGAAGGAATGGTAGGGAAAATCGTAGCAACGATGATCTAGAAGCCATGCGTTACTGGATTTTATAGGTTTAGATTCTTGGTTAAAAAGGGGAGCCGGCCATTTAAAAGCCGCGGTAGCCTGGATAGCTGCACTCAAGTTGATTTATTAGTTATTTTGTTGAATAGTGTGAGTGAAGGCCCACCCGCGGGATGATGCTGGTGGTTTAAGCAGGTGAAAGCCAGCATTCCACAGCCGCGTAGCGCGTTTAACGCAGCTACCTAAACGCCATCTTGATGTTCATTCTAAAGATGTAGTTACAGCTCTTCAACAACGCTTATGGTAGAATTCCACTTCCATTCTCTTCATTATACCGGTTTTGATCTCTTTGCGGATCGAACTTAGGCCGCCGGGTGGACAGCTAAATTCACCGCCTCTCAAGAATTTAGAATCAATTTCGCCCAACTTTCCAAACCAGCCTCTAGACGGCTGAATTTATACAGCGGATGTCGAGAAGTAAAGCTTTTTGGAAAGCTCCGGAATGGGTCGTAAATTGCATTATAACAAACGTAAATATTGCGGCCTGTTAAATCTTACCGTAGTCAAATCTTGCCCTGCATCTCTTTTATCGGCACGACAACTCATTTAAACACACGAATTGCCTTTGAAGACTAATCCTTTCTAAGGATGACTTGCTGATTAGACCAACGACGAGGGCTTTAGCCCGTGTTTAGTGTTCTATAACTACCTTCTGACGACCAATTATCAGTAACTAGGATGGCCGAGCTGCTAAGGCGACAGGCAAGGGCGGGTCTAATGCCACTCGAACATAACGTAAAGCCACATGAGGCAGCAACCTGAGCATGGTGAAACTAGCTGATTCTTCATCTCAGCTTCACACAGTGAACTTTCAGATTATTATTATTATTCCTTTTATTCTCCTATTCCAGTCAGAGACAATACAGGAGACCCCCCACCAGCATCTTAGTCTGCTTACTTTTGACTAAGTTCTTACTATACCTACGTGCCATCCTAAGGAAATCTCGGTAGATTTATATATAGGTACGCTTCCCAGTAGCTGAGTTGATCAGCTGGAGACATAACCTCGTTTGCGCTCAGGGCGGGGATATGATTCAGGCTGAAAGTAGCTAAAAAACGAAAAGAAAAGAAAGACAGAAAGGAAGAAAGAAAGGAAGAAAGAAAGAAAGAAAGCCCCTCCGTGCATTTTACTATCTCATCCTCAAGCACCTCAGTGATACCTAACGAACCAGCAAGCCAGAACTTGGGCGGAGAGCGTTTTTACCGCTCCAGTTAAAATTTCTTTTTAATGTATCCGCGCCGGTCCATCCCAGCAGGACATGTTTACAGATCATTAGGGAATCGGTAGCTAACTAGTTAACTAGTTATGAAGTTCTGACCGTAGAGCCCAATGGCTTTCAGTGGAGGAAGTTGAGTAATATTTCTAGAAATTTTTTGATTATTTTATTCAAGTGAGATAAAACAAAGGCAAGAGAAAAAGTACGTATGTAAGACAAAACATTTTTTTTGTCTATTTCTATATACACAATTACATGTAGAGTTATCCAGTTAAAGGACCAGTTTAACAAAAAAGAAAATTTCTGTTAAACAATATAAAAAGAAGACAAAAGAAAATAATAACATGAGAGGAAACCAAATAAAACAAAACACAGGGGAATATTACATACATATATATCGCTAACCAAAGCAGGGAAAATATGTGGCAGCGAGGTTTTGTCTGGTAGGATGAGATAGAAGGAGGACAAGCTGGGAGCAAACCCAAAACGCGGCACATCATCCAGGGGCGCAGATGCAGGAGTAGAGTGGGGAAAATATGAGGAGGGGAGAAGGGGATAGTAATAACATACACAACAAGGAATCCCTATAATTGGTAGTCATATATATGAATGGGCACACAGAGAATCATCGGGAATAAGTTTTAGTACCACCAGAGCAGGAAGGAGGTGTGATAAACGAAAAAAGATAATAGAAACACAGGTAAATGGTGAAATGAAAATAAATACTCTTCTCCTATCCTCTCCCTTCTCTCCCACCCCCCTATCTTCCCATAGGAGCTCGGATCCGAAGAAAAATCTAAATAAATCACTTTGGGGGGAAAAAAAGAAAAGAAAAGAAAAGAATAGAAAAAAAAAAGGAAGGAAAGAAACAAGAAAACAAAAGAGGAAATTACTGAGTCTTCCCCAAACTCTGCAAACTCACCAACTCGAAATACCTCCCCTTATTCACCAACAACTCATTATGCGTGCCGCTCTCCACAACCCGTCCCTGATCAATGACATAGATGACATCGGCTTTCTGGATGGTGCTGAGACGATGGGCGACAGCGATCGTCGTGCGGCCCTTTGCTGCCGCGTCCAACGCTGCCTGCACGACCTTTTCGGACTCCGAGTCGAGGGCTGATGTGGCTTCGTCGAGGAGCAGGATTTTGGGATCGCGGATGAGGGCGCGGGCGATGGCGATGCGCTGCTTTTGACCGCCGGATAACATGCTGCCTTTGCTGCCCACGACGGTGGAAAAGCCGTCACTGATTTTTGGGTCAGTAAGTGAGTGGTGTGTATGGGTTAGGGTGAGGGGTGAAATCTTTGATGGCGGATTTTTTTTTTCTTTTTTGTTGATTTGGTAAAAGGGAGGAACTTACGGAAGAGACATGATGAAATCATAGATATTGGCAGCTCTGCAAGCCCGCGTGATTTCTTCATCGGGCATATCCTCAGCATCGACGCCGAGCAGGATATTATCGCGGATCGTGCCCTGGTAGAGAGTGGGTTCCTGGCTGACAAGAGACAAGAAACTTCGATAGGAGTTGACATTCAACCTCGTGATATCCTTGCCATCGACATATACACCGCCAGCCAGCGGATCATAAAAGCGCTCAAGAAGGGCAATCGTAGTACTCTTCCCGCAACCGCTAGCTCCCACCAAGGCGACGTACTGGCCAGGTTTAACGGTCAGGTTTAGGCCGCGAAGAACAGGTTGTTCAGGCCGGGTGGGATACCTGAAATGCACGTCGCGGAACTCAATGGTGCCCTCAACTGAATCCACCACATCACCTTCCTTCGACCAAGTGTCGATAACTGGCTTTCTATCGAAGAGTCTCTTGAATTCCGCAGCGGCGGACTTGGCCTTGCCCATGTCGGGCGCGAAAGAGAAGACAGTTCCCGCAGACTGCGCGCCAAATGTAATCTCCATGAAAACAACGAAGAATTGGAACATGCTGTACTCCTTGCTGCCTAGCAATGTACCGCCGTACCAGAATCCAAGGGCAATGCAGAACATCATCATGGACTGCGAGGCAGCATACAGCAATGATGATTTGAGAACGGAAACCAGACTCTTCTTAGCTTGGGCTGCCAATTGGTTGTGGTAGCTACCGCAGACATCCGCTTCTCTAGTCAAGGATGCGACTGTTCGAATTGCCGATGTTGCCTCGCACGCGTAGCTGGCAGATTTCTGGTAGACCTTTTGGGATCGAGTTTGGAAGACAGCCAGGATGTAAAATCGGTAGTATCCGCAGCCTAGAAGAACAGGAATGGTTGCGATGCAGACCAGAGCAAGTTTCCAGCCTATTACTAGCGCTACGATACATGATGCAGTGAGAGTAGTGGTGACAAGGAGGATGGTGCCAAGGGTCACTCCACTGACTCCAGAGAGATGCTTGGTTTCGGTGGATAGGAAAGAGGTCAGAGCACCGGTGCTGTTCTCCTCGCGATCGAAAAAGACAATATCTTGTCGAAGCATTGCACGGAAGGCTTCATGTCGTGCTCGGTGGATTAGCCGCTCAGAACAAACAGCAAAAATGCTTCCTTGAACAGAGTATGACACTAATGTCACCAGTCCAAGCATTAGGAACATGAGTGACCAGAAATTCGCATCGCTTCTCAGTTTATCGTAAAACTGTTCGGGTAGGGAAAGCGTGGCAATTGCTTTGGCGAAAAAGATCGCCATCGTGGGCTGTCCACCACCACAGATGATGGATACGAGGAATCCGGTGAACATCAACATGCCTTCGGGGATGTTGAAAGAGAGGATAAACCGGATCAGGGTTAGGAGGCTATACTTCTGCTCGGGTTCCGCAGGCCGCTTGGACAGGGCTAAACTCGAGAGCGATTTCTTTGTGTCGGTCCGCTGCAGCTCCTCGTCATCTGCGCCAGACCCACGATACTTGCCAGAAGACACGCTCTGAGCGGGTCTAGAAACCTGACGATTAAAAGTATACTCCTTGGATTTTATCATCTCATCCTCGTCTTCTTCCTGTTCTAGGTCTACGGTCTCCCGCTGTTCATTAATTCGCTGTGCCTCGACTAGTCTGAGATAAGCTCCATCACGGTCGACCAGTTCGTCATGGGTTCCTTGTTCGACAATTCGTCCCTCCACCAGAACAACAATGTTGTGGGCATTCTTGATTGTAGATAAACGATGGGCAATGACGATTGTGGTTCTTCCGACAGCCGCTGCATCCAATGCAGCTTGGACAACGCCTTCTGACTTGGTGTCTAAGGCAGAAGTGGCCTCGTCCAAGAGAAGAATCTTCGGGTCGCTAACCACTGCACGAGCAATCGCGATACGTTGTTTCTGGCCACCAGAGAGTAGGAAACCTCGTTCTCCAACGTGAGTCTCATAGCCTTCAGGGAGCCCCGTGATGAAATCGTGTGCGTTGGCCATTCTAGCAGCATTCTCGATACGTTCTCTAATTTTTTCTTCGGGTTCCTTCTCAAAGCTGGAACCGATCAGGCCCTGCTTGATGTTCATGTAGATTGTGGTGCCGAAAAGCGTTGGCTCCTGGCTGACGAGGGATATCTGTTGGCGGAGCCAACGTGGATTGAGGGTTTTCAGATCATGACCATCGAGGTAAACGGCGCCGTTAACGGGGTTGTAGAATCGCTCCATTAGGCCCACAACTGTACTTTTACCGGAACCAGATGGGCCAACGAGTGCAGTTGTTTTACCAGCAGGAACTACCAAACTGACATCCTCCATGACAACCACCTCTGGTCGGGACGGGTAGATATGTTTGATGTTTCGGAACTCGACAACACCTTCGACATTGTCAAGTCTCTCGCCTTCGTCGGAGGTGGGATCGATCGGGGATACACGGTCAATGGTGCTGTAGATCTTCGCGCCTGCGCTAATTGCTGAAGTAAACGTCTGGGCATAGGGGGTCACATTACCCAAGCTGAAGGAGCCCAGGATAATGGCCAGGAGAATAGTGATAATGTCCTGAAGGCTGGCTTCTCCACCGACAAGGAAACGCGAACCCATCCAGAAGCCCAATCCATAGTTCAGGAAAATGATGGCCATCATTCCTCCAACCATGCATCCAATAACGACCTGCAGCTTTACTCCCCATTTCTGGGCCTCAACGAGATGAGTGTCGTATTGCCGTGCAAGCTTCTCCTGAGTACCGAATGCGGTTGCGTTTCGAATCGAGCTGAGCACCTCCTCTGCCACGGTTCCTCCCTCACCATAGCTGTCCAACGATTTTTTACTATATCCGATGATGAAAGTGGAAGCTGAGCCCATTAGAACCGTGAGAGCAACAATTGTCGATGAGCAAATAAGCGTTAACTTCCAGAACTTGATGAAGCCAATGATGAATGCGGTCACGAATGTCGCGAGGGCAGTCATTGTCAGGCCGACTTTCTCCGATATGCCGTCCTGGATCAGATTGGTATCAGCAGTAATGCGGGTGGTGATTTCGCCAGCACCCAGTTTGTCGAAGTATGCGATGTTCTGGCGCAAGATGGCGGCGAGATACTTTTCTCTAATCTTCTGGGAGATCTGTTCGCCAACATAGATGAAGCCAACTGTGCCGATATAGATGAGGACGAACATGCCAATTCCAAGGTAGACGAAGTAAAGAGCATATTTTGAAATCTCGGAATTGAACTCGTCTACGGAGATGGTTTGTAGGGTAATGTCTTTGAACGTGCCAGCCATGGCTCCAAAAAGAATCTATGACAAAATAAATTCAGTCAAATTAGAACAACTGCATCCAGCCATGTTCCCCGCCTAACTCAACTCTTAGCAGCAAAAAAAAAAGAAAAAGAAAAAGAAAAAAAGAAAAAAAGTTCAAGTACGTACCGTGAATAGTGGGAGCACAGCACCACCAGCAGTCGCACCGACTGAGGCAATAATGAGAACGATGATATCCATTTTCGTGGCATAGCGGAACAACGTGAGGTAGTTAACCTTGACATCGGGGATATGGAGTTGTTCTTTGAGGATTGCCTGTTCATGTTCTGGGAGATGGGCGAGAGCAGCATCGAGATCTCCCTCCTGCAGCGGGGCAACCACCTTCGAGTCCAACTTCTTGAAATTTGTATGGTCCTCATTATTGCTCACGGTTGATCCAGATCCAGAACCTGATATCTCGTTGTTGTTGTTGGCATCTTGGGGTTTCTCGCCTGATGTCACTGTGGGTGGACTCTCCGGGCCCGCATCGGGGACACCAGATTTCTCCACCGCAGCACTCTGTTTCTCTGGATCGCCGTGCATTATTGCTGTACCTAAGCTTTGCCTTCACGCACTAAAAGCCCGACGAGGTGAAGAAAAAGGGATTGATAATTGCAATCCCAGATTTCTAAGATGGTCCAGACGTCGTTTCCAGCCAGTCTGACCCAGCAGAGGAAAACGCCGACAGGAAGGTTCAGGGCCGCCCAGCGGTTTCTCTTGCTGTTATGTCTACAATATCTGGAGACAAAACCCTGACAAAGAAACCATCAGGACTCGAGGGGGGGAAGAAGGATAGAAAAGAGGGACGGAGCAGAGGGGGAAAGAAAGAAAAAAATGAGATAAATGAAACGGCACGAGAGAGGATTAAATTCAAATTCAAATGAACCCCCAACACACGCCAGCGGGCCTAATAATATTCCCAAAGCTATACGAGACAGACAGGGAAACAGAGCGAGATAGACAAGCTTCTTCTGATGGCTTCTTTTTAGCCTTGGTGGGGGGACTTTAATGATGATAATAGTAATATTAATAATAATATCACCAGCTTGTAAAGCAAGAAAAGAATGTTTCATGCAAATAAAAAGAAAAAGGGAAAAAAAAAGGAATTCTCAAAGATGCGAATGGAGCTATTATTATCCTTTTTCCAGAATATCCATCGATATAATTTCCCCCACCTGCGAGTGCCAGTCAGGAGGCGAAAAAGAAAAAAAAGAAAAAAAAAAGCACGCCAGCAATATCAATATCAATACCAATATCCCATCAGAACCAAGCTTTTTGCAACCCTCCTCCAGCTTTTCTAAAGGGCTTCTGGGGGCTCCAAGTTCCGGGGGCGCTTCACAAAAACAATGATGAACCCAACCCAACTCTGGCTGCCTGGAGGGATTGCTGGCTTGCTGACCCTCTCCATGGTCGTCGTCTGGACGGACTGTTTGCAGCGACTGGGCGGCGTCAAAGCCTGGGCGGGTTCCGAGAGACAATCACAATTCCGCATTCAAGAATAGTTAGTTAGACCTAATACTAAATAATACTGCGTAATACTAATAAGAAACAGCAAAAAGGGGACGACGGGGCTTGAAGACTTCCGACGCCCGTGCTTGCCATAACGCAGCGTACGTTTGTCCCTCTGCACCGGCTGTGATTGGCCGCTTCGGCAAACGAACTGGCGCCAAATTTGTACTAGTGACCTGTTTCTCACTCTGTCCATAACCTAGGAGCGAGGTATCTGGTACCGGGGGGGGGGGGTTGGGCTGGTTTGGGGCCTGTGCATATCTTGCATAAACTCCCGTTAGCGAACACGCGTGAAATTCCGTTCCGAGGCCGTAAATTACCCCCGGCGACATGGCAAATGCGTGGCAGGTGGCAGCGATGACGTATCTGCTGTGTAACAGGGCCTGTAATTGTGCATTAATAATATTATTTTCAAGTCTTGCATCCGGTGGCGCCAAACCAACTTTGGAAGGTTTCGTGCCCGTCTGCATAAAATGACTGCGCACTAGCCCGGTTGCGGTTACCGCCTATTTGCCCTTTTCGGTACTAGTCCCCGTTAGGATACTACTGTGTTGGGTTATGGCCGTCTGTCTGATGGATCCGAGATTGACGCAGAATTGCTCAGCCTGAGTCTGGAACTAATGTAACTCCCGCAACTAATATAACTGAGATCAAAACAAGCGAGAAGTCGATGGAAGGATCCTGCTGCAACTTCTTGCAAGGTTCTGGGGAGAGTACTCTGTTGCAATGAGATGGTCGAATCCTTGTTGTATGGGCCTTCCTTCTCAAGTCCAGACCCTGTTGTTCTGTGAAAACCCTTGCTAGCTCCTAAGGTTAAAACCTCGCTAGCTAACCTAACTAACTTTTGATGCTTATCTGTTGAGCTGCCACTGGCTGTGGTTTATTCGACGCGCTACCCGTCGATTTTGATATCACTAATAAAAAAGGGCTTATCCCAGTCAAGTCAACATTGAATGGGCAACTCGGAGCCAATGTCAACCCGCCTCCCCGACAAGAACCCCACGTCACACGCAGGGTTCCGATCGGAGGCTTGGTATTTTCGTTGTTCACAACAAAAATGTTGAAAAAAAATTTGAAAAAAAAGGGAATAAAAAGGGCTGTCCAAGCCTCCCGAAAATCCATGTTTCATTTGTCTGGTACTACTAACGTTGCGAGACCAGCTACTTCCACCCAACCTTTCCATTCACTATTTGAAAGCTCCCGGATTCAAAAAGTCAAAAATCAAGCCGGGTCGGTCGTCGGGTCGCATCGGTGCACCCCAAATGCGAAACATTTCGGGCCATCTGCTTGGGACAGGGAACCGTTCCGGGCTACAGTCATCTCTAGACTGCATTCTGGTGAGTCACACGATATACGGGCTGCAAACCTTGGTGCTATCCCCCTTCTGTCGGTATGAGCAAGCCTCGGCATAAAACAATAAATTTAAATTTTTTCGTCATAACTGCGTCAAGAACCAAGCAAGCTTTCGGGACCATAATTTTGTTTTTCCTTGTTCACTCTTCGCAATACATAGCAAATCCTTTGTCACTTGCAATTATGTATGTATTCCGGGCGTTGGACAGTGCCGGTACACACGGGTTGACAGGGGCGAAAGGGAGGTCTGCGAGAAAGAAGCACAAGAAACGAAGGTTGAACTTCAGGTGTGCCCTCGTCATACATCATACATATATCTCTTGTCCTGATGATCAAAAGATGCCAAAATGCCCAACGGAACAGATCTTTGAAATTCATGCCTAGCGCATTCGGTCTTTCGGTCATGGAGATCGAAAAGCTTATTTTTTTTGCTCTAACCCAGGCATCAACATCAACATCCACGTAAATAAGGCAGCTTCTTCCAAGGTTCATTCCTTCTAACCCTCCAATGGTAGGCAACGAAAATATGAAACGAAAGGAGAAGAAAAGAAAGCAGCCCCCAATGACAGCCAAAAAACTCCCTCCTTCGCAACACAGAGTGACTTATGAATAATGAGTCAGGATGAGCCTTAATGAACCATTTACCCGTCTCATCCCAACGAGGCGTGACATCATATAGTTACCCGTAGACAGACTTGTTATGCCACAGCTGACACGCCCAACCCGAACAGTGCACGAGCCTAGTTCATTAAAACACAAAAATAAAGATCCGATCGGTAAGTTAAGTCTCGCCTTTATTTGCCTAGCCATTCGACTTCCGAGCGGACCTTTTATGTCTGCCTATAACGTACAAGCCAAAAATAGATCCAAAATCGCCACTGCTAGAGGAATGATTCGAGGGGAAAAGTTATTGCCTGACATGACGTTATGTATGAATATAGTTGGCCTCGTTCGCTATCCATGTCATGTTTCTTGATTGCTTGCTTGATTGAGATGCAAAAAGAAAACATTAAACTCTTATATATAATATTCCTCTCGAAGCCTCAAGCCCACCCACCTCTTAACCCCGACCGTTCGACAAATTAACTCCAGTGCTGGCCTATCTCCATCCAGATGTCCCTCATACAAAGAAGTAATAATGACAGGAATGAGGGAGATGGAGGAAGAATGTACCGTACTACTGTATGTCTGTACGAAGTACTTGACTTGATACGGATCAGCGAGTTTCAGGTTCGCTGAATATGACCGTTTGCGGATACTCGGGATCTATGCGAAACTTCCCCAAGGTTCCTGTGGTTGTGGAGATGGGGGGAGATCTTTGTTCCTCTCCATCCGCGCACTGCTTGCTATTATTATCAAAATAATAATAGCTCTCCCTCTCTTTCAATTTTTAGGGTGAAATCTTAACTCAACTATTGTTCCCATTCTTTGCTTAAACTTTATAAACCTTCCAGACAATTTCTTTGTGTCTGCTTAATCTGCACCGGTTACTCTCTTCCTATCATTCTTCCGGGGAGTTGGGTTATATATCCAGCCCGCCCGTTCCCCTCACACGTTTCCTTTTTATCATAGTTTTTTACCCGTGGTAAGGCGATAGATTTTGAGATGATCATTTAACACTCAGCAAAGTTGATAGGACCATTCCACGAATTATGGTTATAATGCCACCAGAAACTCCATGCGGGTGCCGTTTATAGAATGAAATAAATGTCCTGTCAATTACCTTTAAGATACATCAGACAGCGCTGTCCTAGAGTCCGGCGCGGGTATAACACGATTTACCGTGTGATAAGGACGAGATCGAGGTTCTCGTTCCCCAATTCCTCCGAAATAGGCTGTGGGCATGCTATGCTATATATAGCTCTCTACTCTCCGTAGCTTTTGACTGAAGACGTTCAACTTGGGATAAGGCGGGCTTCTAGGACTGGCCGTTGCAATTTGAAGGGGCACAGATAATGTGCATATCTGTTGAAGGGACAAGAAAGAAGGAATAGTGACGAACACGCTCTACCCTTCGAATCAGTGGTAGGTAGGTGTGGGTGAGAAAGAGTGATTAGGGATCAAGATAGAGGGGCCTATGGCTTCACCAGGCGATGCCAGGCTGTAACCTAACAGCTCCGCTGCCTTGTCAATAATATTGAGTTCTGTCGAAACGCAAATTCCCCAGACCTGGGGGTAAAACGGGTCCATGTTGGGGACCTCCACATGCACATAGGTGTAGAGAGGGAGATAGAAGGGCCAGGGAATATTATGGCTCTTCTACGACCCAAATAACAGCATGAGTATTCTGAATATCTTTGCCATCCATGTCCCTGATCAGATGCGCCTTGGTTGTATAAAACAATGGGTGAAATTTTCGCCAACTCCCCATCAACATCATGGAACAGACTTAACACAGCTGCAGTATTGTATTGCGACTTGTTGAGCAGGTTAGATACAGCTCCAGCTTCTCATGCCAAAGCCTACTTTAAATAACCTTATTAGAATGTCGCCAAGCCGAGCGCCAATAATATCACGTGATTCGGCCCAACACGCTAAACCCGATCAGTAAGCGAGTTCCCTCCGGCCACCAAAAGAAAACCCACACAAAAAACTCCCGCGAGCCAGCCGCACGTAACGGTCAGCTATCCCCATCCGACATCAACAACCATCCAGCGCCCATCAAGTCTCGAGCATTTACAGTGCCCTAGACCGCCAGGATGCCGGTATGTGCGAGATACTGACTGCTACTGATTCCCTTCCCGTCCCTTCCCCTTACGTCGATCGGCCGCTCGCAGGCGCTGCACCACCACCACCACCACTACTACTGCTACTTGTTAGAATAGAAATGACGGCTAACTTGGGATCTGAAATACAGAGCCAGAAATCGTTCCGCACCAAGCAGAAGCTTGCCAAAGCCCAGAAGCAGAACCGTCCCATTCCCCAATGGATTCGTCTGCGGACCGGAAACACCATCAGGTAAATCATTTTCCAATTCTAGCTTTCTTCTGCGGAGCGCATACAAGGGATGGGATTATTTGGGGGGGGTGGACGGTGGAGAAAAAGAAGAAGAAAAATGAAACGGTGGCAGGGGGTAATTCATGAGCGAAGAGGAGGAAATACGACGGGAAACTCAAAAGAATCGAAGGGATGTGAATCCCAGGTATCCATGGCAAAAGGGGGATATTTTCAGGAGCAGAGACATGATAAATTTCCGGTTTTATGACAAGATATGGAAGGAAAACAATACACACGGGCTCGAGTGCAATGAATGCTGTATAGAAAAGGTGGCGATCGAGAACTATTGGCTGACTGGTAACATTTCTTTTCTTTCAACACAGATATAACGCCAAGCGGAGGCACTGGCGCAAGACTCGTCTCAACATATAGATTAATCGCAGAATACACGATCCTTCCCCGCCTGGAAAGCCCGCAAAATCTCTTCTCCCCGCCAGCTTAAATGACGCGCTTCAGTCTTTTTAAAAAATATTTTTTCCCATCTCGGTACATTCTCCGGCACGGACCCTACAATCTCAACTTTTTGGTCGTCTTGTGACTTGAAAAGTCCGGGTATTTCGACGACGGAAACCTGTCGATTTCCCGGAGGAATAAGAAAAGTCTCAAACTGAGTTAGGAGGAACGTACCTGGGGAATTTTTTTGGTTGGCCGAGGGGGTGTTCGATCTCGTTCTTAGTTTTCTTTCTACTTTCTGTAATGGCATTGTTGGGGAAACCGGAATGCGAAACGGGAAACTGGACAGAAAGAATTCAAAAGCATCAAGGATTTTGTGGGGTTTTTTTTTTTTTTTTCCATGAGATTAACCAAGGGGAATGATCAGTGGTGTGGGGATGCAAAAGGGGGGGGGGAGTGCTTCTTCTGCATGGTTTTTGCCCTTTTTTTTTTTAAATCTGATGTATACGACGAGCCCAAATTCAAATTTTTTTCCATTTCTTTCTCGTTTCCTTTCTCTTTTTCTTATCGTCCTTGGTCCGCGCGTATGGAAAAATGTGAGCAATGGTCGTTCCATCATCTTTCTCGCTCCTGCAAAGAAAGCGGTTTTCGGACATTGTGCATGTGCTTTCTTCTAACGTACCGTAACTTTTGGAACGGTCGACTAAATCTTAGAACGGAATCGTCTTCACAGCTATTCATGTACTATGTACTACAACACACGTACGTCGAGCAACAGAAAAGGATACGAGAAAGACAACTGAGCGTTGCCTAAAACATCTTAAGAAAAGATAAGAAGAGGAAAGAAGAGGAAAAAGAGGAGACGCATCGAAAGCTGGCAGCACAAACGGCTACAGAAGGAGAGAGGAGGACAGGGGAAGAAGGAAAGCGAGTAGCCCGGAAAATGAAAAGGGGGAAGGGGAAGAGGGGGAACCAAGAAGATTTGTTATTAGAAGTATGTGAATGGATGGATAAGATCTACACATGGATCAAAGAGGGGAGATAGAGAGATTCAAAAATAGAAATGAAAAACAAACAGACAAACAGAAGAAAGGATACATAGAGCCTGATTGATGTGCACACAAACTCACTTCCTATACATACCTGGCTGGCTGAGCTGCTTGCTTCAAAATACTTACTGACGACGAATTTGAATTCTATTGTTTTCATGTATGCATTCATATATTAAGAATGTTCTGTTTGATAAATTAACGAGAGTACCACCCCTTGTGTTTTTGACTGTGAAGCAAGGGGAAAGATTCAAGAACTTAGTTAAGGACGTGGGGATGAGGGAAGAGGGAACAAAGAGAAAGAAAGAAAACGGAAATATGAGTGATAATTAAAATGGAGACGATAAATTTGAGCTTTGAAAGAAATACACTAAGCTGAGAACAAACGCCTGACCGATCAGTATCATATCGAATCGAACCGTGTCGTATCTGAAAGGGGAAAAAAAGGAAAAAAAGTAACGACGATGCAGGAAATAGAAGGCACAGCGAGGGACGTGTATGTGGGATTCTTTCTGGTTGAATTTTTGAATATTAGCTCATTTATTTCATCCCGCCTTTTCCACCCCGTTCCCGAAGCGTTGCGTTCCCCTTCCAAAATTCCGCATGTCAACCCAATCGTGCTGGAGAATGTGACTTAAGACCAGTTGCAACTGAGCTTGTATATATGGCGGATTTATATGAGGAAAATACTCGAGAAGGGACGAGAGTTAGTTTCCTATAAAGATGTCGTAAGGAGACGGGGGGGATTAACGGCTGTAGATAGTGGTCAGTATGATGTAACTGGGAAAAGAAATGTGTAGATATAGGGGAGAAAGAAAGAAAGAAGGAAAGAAACATACTCCTCAGCCCATTCGTTCTCCGCGCGGATTTGAGCTTCTTCCTCTGGCGTGAAGTCGTTTTGGATATTGAAGGTCTTGCGGATATCTTCTGGGGACTTGCCCTTGATCATATTCGCAACGGTCTTGCAACCAATGTCGAGAAGGGCCTTAATATCAAGGTAGTTGGCGGCCTAGAGAAGTTTCACGATTTTCCATCAGCATATATATACTACGAAACGTAGCTAGGAAGCAGGATAGGACATACTAGAATGATCTCGAACAGCATCTCCTGGTCGACTTGCATGAACTTTTGATCCCATTCGTCGATGTCTGTGGTTCTTCTACGGGAGTCGTTGTCCTCATCGCCGGTGCTTGGGGGGTCATCCTGATGCTTTGTGCACCAAGCGATGACCTTTTCGAGGACGGCTCTGTTGACCTATGGGGTACTGTTAGTTGCTGTTGAGGCGTGACCTAGCGAAGTTTAGAATAGGAGAAGTATATCAGTACGTTTGGAATTGGGATCTCTTCTTCTACGCTTCCGCCACCGACATCCTCAAGCATGTTCTTGATTAGGATGGAGCGCTCAATGATGGAACGTTCTAAAATTGGCGTAAGATATACATATTAGTCCAACCCAAGATAAAACTAGAACTGCTCCGGCGGCTTTTCACCTGGGTATTTGCGCACGCTACGTTCTGGGTTCAAACAGACACGAAGGGAAATTGTAGCATACCAACTGTAATTCCAGGGCCGCCTTGAGGCTCATCGGAGGGAATCAACCGCACTTCATCCTTGCCAGTACTGGAGGAATGGGTGTCATCTTTCGCAGGAGGAGCCATGTTGGTATCGTATCGGGGTATAAGGGTTTCGGACCAGCTCTGTCGTTTTTTGGGGAGAATGGGTTAAAATGAAGAAATGAGTATCCTCTAGGACGAGGGGACTCGGAGTTTCTGTATTCTTGCACAGGAGGACGTTAGATTTTGCTGGTTCTTGTCTAGAGAAAGCACAGGCTGCGGGGAAGCTGCGATAAGAGGGACAGACAAAGGGAGTTGGACTACCTTGTACAGGTCGACAGTCGAGTGGGCTTTGGAGAAGAGAGGTTGCGGAGTATTCAGAGCAAGCTTATAAGGGAGAGATAGAAGAAGTAAAGTTGTGGTGATGAGGGTTGTAGATGTCGCGGAAAAGGTGGATGTGATACGAAACGCAGAGCGCAAGGCAGCCAGCGGCCGGCGAGTGACAGAGAGGGGTCACGTGGGGTTGTCACTCCCATAGTCATTTATAATGGATAGTATGGAGGGTAGGTACTAACCGTGCCATGCTTACTCACTCTCTGTAGTGAGTGCGCCACAGCGTACGGAAAACCACACTGTAAAGAAAATATTTTGAATATAGTAATCTTCAAAAATTAATTAATAATCACCACCACATCTATCTATAACATAAAGATTATCTATATACTCATTAGAAGATGTAGAATTCACTGTAAGTTGAGATTCTATAGAATTATCTTGTTGTGGTTGAGTGGCTGTAGATTTTGTAGATTTGATTCCAATTAATTGAAGAGTCTTATTGAATGTCTTTTTCATCTCATCTGCTCTACAGATTGTGATCTTGCAATTGGCATTCTTAATAGTGAGAACTTCACCTACTTGTATCTGTCTGTGAGAGAATTTGATAACCTGATGTCTATTTGCTTAATAATGATCTGCAAGTTCACTCTCACAGTGTATATTCAATTCTGCCTGAATCATGCTACTCTTGAAGATCTTGTTCAATCATCTTATCAAATCAGGTGTAAGAATATTCTTCACATCTTCTAAGATCTTGACTGCTGCATTAATTTAATGATATAGTTTTACAATCATCTCTGAGAAGATTAATTATAAGAAGACAGTTAACAGTCAATCTGTAGATAGCAGAATAAAGTGATTATATATATCATCATCATCATTATATATGTTGAGATTCAGAGCATCATCAATGATAAGAGATCTCAATCAATTGAGAATTATATTGTGATTAACTGAATACATTTCACAGTCAGTAAAGCCAGCTCTCACAGTACTAGATTTAAATGCTTACAGTTGAATACTCTTCAGATTAGTAAGAAATTATTCACAGCAGCTTCAATATACTTGATAATAAGTGAGTAAAAATTAATGTTCAATTGATGAATTCATATCTTAATTGTCTCTTTCTAACTGTCATTCAATGCTCAATTCAGTGAAATTCTCATAGTTCTTGATTTCTTCCTGTTGATTCTTTCATATAAGATAGTATATGAGACTTTGAATTCTTACAACAGAGACATGATTTTTAATTTTGAATTGTTTTTATACACATCAACAGCTCTTTGCAACTGCTTCTCAGTGTAATTAGAAGATTTAGACATGATTATAATTAATGATGATTATTTGAAGATGAAGAATGAAAATATTGAAAATATTTTCTTTACAGTGTGGTTTTTCATACACTGTGGCGCACTCACTACAGAGAGTGAGTAAGCATGGCACGGTTATGTCCTGGTTCGGGTTCTGCCTGGCGGTATTTGTGGGATGATTCTATTGTGACAGGCAAGCTTGCTTAAGTATGCTATTATTATTATTATTATTGTTGTTATTTAATTTATAGTTGAGACTATGATATTTATTATTACAGTGAGTAGTTACCTAGGTACATACTTTACATATGATCATGTGATACGGAAATTATCTTTATTGTTAAGGCAACTCATAGGTTCAAATCATTCAAACTCAAAAGAACTTGTTTGAAAGTAACAGAAAGTGAATTTTAAAAGCCAGTTTGCAAGAGATTACTGAGCTGCACAGTCATGATATTGTTTATTAAGATAAAGTAAGCACTCTTGAGTAAAGAGACAATTGTTGAGCAGGTTCAGATTATCTCTCTAAAGAGAAATGCATCAAAGAAATGTTAGCCAGCAATAATAACTAGCATTCACTTTAAAGATAAGCTTAGTCATTGCATTTCTTGTGATTAGAATTTGTAGAAATATGAATTGTAAAATGCACTCTCTCTAAGTTTCACATTATTTACCTGCAATATCAGGTTTTTTTTCTGAAGACTAAGAATTGAATAAGCTTATAAGACATGTTAATGATAAGAAACTTAACTGTTAAATTCTTAAATTTCTTTGAGATGATTAAATAGCAGACTATTATTTTTACAAGCTATTTTCAAATTAACTGAATGTTAATAACAACAAGTTTAAAAATATTATTTATAAAATGACAAACTTGAATTCTCAAAAATAAATAATAATGTATGAAGTATTGAAACATTTTTAATTTACTAGCTATAAATCTTATTAAGTGTTCTAGAATTATTCTTCTTATAATTAGACTGACTGCTGAGATCATGAATTTCATGTTTGATCTCATTTAATCTGATCTCATACATTTCTTGACATGAATTCTGCTGAGACTAATCATTAAATAAACATGTAAAGTAACTATATATCAGATCTCAAAATGAAACTATGACTTGAAAAAAATAAGAAAGTGGTTCTATTTAGTCTCATTTAGTCTCATTCTTGGTATAAAGTTACTATTTTTAGACATTTTAAGGTTTTTTTTAGACTATTTTTAATTTTTTAAAAAGTAACACTTTTTGATAACACTCAAATGAGATTTAAAGTTATTTAAAGCAATAAAAATAATTTAAATTGAGAAGTGAAAATCATAATCTCATTTGAAAAATGTAATAAGAGTAGACAGTAAGTCTCACTGAGATAGTATGAAACTACTATCTAATGTTAGAACTGTGTAATGAGATCTGTCAAATTGACAATGAGACTATCAAAAATTCTGGTCCTGGTCTCAGACACAGTCACACAGTCAGTCTACTTATAATATTATAATTTATCTAAAGAGACTGATAAATATTCATCTTTTAATAATATTTTTCTTATCAGGTCTTTTCTGTCACTTTCTTTTTTTACAAATACTATATCTACTTTTAAGACAAACTTATTATAGTGAAAGAATTACTACTATCTTTATCTATTTAAACTTTGCTTTTCTAGCTGATCTCTTTTCAATTATATCATTTAAAGTTTGAAGAACTTATTAATATCAATAAAACATAGCATAGTGTGACAGGCTGTGCCTGATCAATTATATAGACTATTCTGTTACACTTCATAGATTCTTTTATTTCACTCTTAAACATGTACACTCTGATTCTCGGCCATTTCTGATCACTGATTCTCAGTCATTATATATACATATAAATATTCATTTCAATTACTGATTCTTACACTTTCTCTTTCTTTTCTTCTCTAATGTTTTTATCTTTGTTATATAAGACCTATCAATATCATACTGATCTATTCAGTGTAGGCCTCTTATACTATAAAAATATTCATTATCTTCTCATTAGAAATAATTATTCATCAAGAGATATCTGAATATATAACAATATATAAGAAATAAAGAAACAGTTAAACAGTTAAGCAGATACTGAGTTCTCAGATAGAAGCTTGCTTATCAGTTACTCTGACTCTGTAACAAGATCTTACAAGAGAATATCAGTAAAAGACCTGAGAGTTCTGACACTCAGATATATAAGAATACAATTACACTTCTTTAGATTTCACAGATATTACATATTTAATAATTAATATAATTATGTCTAACAATAATATGAAACCCTTGAATACAAGTATAGATATGATGTCACAGTGACTCTGAGTAATGTTGAAATTATAATAATAATAAATAGCTGATATGCATATAACTTAATAACTTTAATATGAAGAGATTCAATGATTAACTCATGTAATTTCAACATCTACAGAATTGAATATAAAAGTACTGAAAGAATACTTAGATACTCTTATATATTTCAATAATTCTGATCTCACTCTCTACTCATTATGAAGAATGAAAATGCTTATGAAACTGAGTGTAGATGAAGATATCATTGATTTATTAATTAATCAAGATTGATATATCAATGAATAATTGAAGAATTGTGTGAAACAGAAGTTTCATTCATAAATAAAAGTATATAAACTAGTGTTATGAATGTCTGATAATATTATGAAACATCTTAATATTCTGTTCTAAGATACTATCATACAATAGAAAGTATTAGATTGATTACAGAGTATTTAATAGAGAAACACTTCTCTTATAACATTTATTTCTGACTTCAATATCAAGATTCTAGAAGCAGGTGATCAATCTTGAAAGAATTGAATGAAGATTAGTATGCTTAAGAAGACATTGACTTTTAAACTCTTACAGACTCTTATAAGTATAGATAAAGATCAGACTTATGAAGACTTCTACACACAGCTCTGAACATTGAATAACTATTTTATCAAGCTTAAGAGTATACAGAACAGTGATAGAAAATGTTACATTTCAGTCACTTACACATCTGTGCTGAAGAATAATAATAATGATGCAGATGCTATGAACTGAGTAGACTTAAATATTTATACATAAGTAAGAATCTTCATCATTTAAACAGACTTTCAAGTCTCTGAGATCACTTCTGAAGAAGTCACTGATTAATGTTAATATAAAGTGTGTATCAACTGTAACTGATCAGAATATATTATTTTCAACTACTGATTAATTTACATATCTTCTTATTTAAAGAATAAATCAGCATCTGTCTGCATTAATCACATTGCAGTGAAGAAAGATTTGAAAGATAACTATAAGAATACTCTGATAAAACAGGAAAAAGATTAACTTCTGTTCAAATTCACAAACAGAAGCTTGAAGAGATCAGATGATAATGATTTAAAGAGAAAATAATAATGAATACAATTCTTATATCTACTGTAATTAATAATATGTATAATATAAAAGCTATAATAGACAGTAGTCTATGTTACTATACAATGATAAAATCTTCAGTTGTAAGATATTATAATCTTCAGTGTATTCTCTTATTAAAACCTCATCTTCTTACAGAATTTGATAATTTAAAAGACATTTGTATCTGTTACATAGTGAAGCTGATCATAGATGTGAAAGAACATCAATATGAAGATGTCTATATATATAAAGTTAATAATCTTGATTACAATCTTATGTTAGAACTTGTCTGACTATCTGAATAAGATATCTTATTAAATACTTGAAACAGAAGCTTGATATTTCCTAACAATAATAGAATTTATAAAGATGATATTTATAAGATTATGAATCCGACACAGATCTCTGTCAACATGTATAAAATACTTTGAAAAAGAAGTTATCAAGACTGCTGACAAAGTTACTGATAGTAGAATTATGTATTAATCTATTCTATCAATCTGACTGATATTAAGAAAGCTCTAGAAAAGTTATTCTATACTATAATAACAGATTCTCATACAAAACTCTCTTAATAATATTATGAATATCTAGATGTCTTCTGATAAGATAATATTATAAATATATTTTCTTTATAAGACTCAGAAGTGAATCACAGTATTAAGTTAGAAAAGAAGAATAATAAGAACTCTGAGTTACTGTGAGACTCTCTTTATAATATATCTCAAGATAAACTTCTTCTTCTTCAGAAGACACTCAATGATCTGTTAGATAAGAAATTTATATATATTAGTAACTCTTTCACTACAGCTTCTATTCTCTTTGTAAAGAAGTTAGATGAAGAACTCTGATTCTGTATAAACTACTAAGATCTGAACAGATTAACAAAGAAAGATTGATATCTCTTATCTCTTATCAATGAAACTCTAGCATGAATCAGATAAGCTCAATGATTTATAAAGTTATATATTATTATCATATTTCATAAGATTTATATTACTGAAGAAGATGAATAATTTACAGTATTCTGAACATATTATAATCTCTTTGAATGAATAGTCACACTCTTTAAACTGATTAACACTCTTAGTATATTTCAGAAGTATATTAACTGAGCACTCTAAAATTTTCTTAATAAGTTTATATCTACTTATTTAGATAATATTCTCATCTTCACTGATGAATTCAGAAAAGAGTATTAAGAGTATATATAAAGAGTATTATAATAACTACAAGAAGTAGAACTATCAATTAATATTAATAAGTATAATTTCAAAGTTAAAAGTACTAAATACTTAGGTTTTATCATAGAAGCTGATAAGAGAATTCAAATGAATTCTGAGAAGATTTCTGCTATTCTTAAATAAGAAGCTTTATATACTGTGAAAGATATATAAAGCTTTATTAAATTCACTAACTTCTATCAGTAATTTATATAAAACTTCTCAGATATTATAAGATTACTTACAGATCTTACTAAGAAAGACTCAGTATTTTAATAATCAGCAGACACTGAAGCTGTATTTATACAGATAAAGAAGATATTCATTAATATCTCTCTACTAATAATATTCAATTCTGATTATAAAATAGTTATTAAAGTCAATTTCTCTGACTATATAATAGAAGAAGTAATATTATAATATAATAATAAAGATGTTCTATAATGTCACGCTCCCGGCCGTGTCAAGGCTCCGTTGCGGTTTCACACAGCTCATTACTTTCATGCGGATGATTTCATCCTGTTCAAACCAGTTTTCAACCACTCTATAACATCATTCAGATATATCATAGAAAGATCTGATTAATGAATATAAGAACTCTACTTTTATATGAGGTCAGCAGATTACTCTTTCTTGATAATAAGATACTGCTGAGATATCACTCTAACTATTCTCACTTATGAAATGAAAGAAGAGTATCTGCTCATTATCTATATAGAATAGCTAGATACTGACTTCTTATCAAAGAAGTCAGTAATTTGTTTTTCTCATACTGAAATAGATATAAGAGTTACTGTATGTCTCATATAATCTTCTTAATATACTAAGTATTATATCTGTGATATTCTCACAATAACTCTGTAGTCTATAAGCTCACTATTTAAGCAAGATAATCAAGCTTACTTATATAGCTTCTTAAATAACTACTTCTATATAATACTGCTAACTAGTCACTGCTTTAGTTTCATTATATTATAATTTGAATCACTTAATCTGATTATACATTTGAATCAGTCAAGCTTTAACAGACTGATATAATCTTATATATCTGCACTGAAACTGATCTGATTTCACTCTCTGAGAGAAATACTACATCATTCTCTAGAGTGTGTACATCTCTATCTCAGCAGAAATCCGAGATTTCTGAATCTGTTACATATTTTGACATGAGCTCTTCAACTGCTCTGTTATCACTGCGGCCTCTACACACCTACATCTATCATAAAGATAGAGAGATTAAGGTCAGAGATTCTCTGAGATACTTTGACACGTGTGAGGTTTTTCGGGATCGGAAGTACAGCAATCTCGGAATCAGTGAGTAGGTCTTCAAGACTGTCTCTCACTGAAGCTTCTCTCACTGTAGTGATATTTCTTATAGATGTTAGAGAATCATCAGATTCAACTGTGAGTTCTGAGAAGTTCAGTGTATTCTGCACTAAAAGAGTAGATATTCTCATGAAGATATCATAGTCAATTCATCAATTATTAGTGAGTACAAGAAATAATGAACACTCAGGTTGAATTTCCTCATCAATGAATAGATTATCAATTGATGAATCAGAAATTACTACAGTCTCTTAACAGGCTGCAGTGAGTAGATCTGATGTCACTGAAGAAATCACTGCAGCCGCCTTACAGACTGTATTGAGTAGAACCTTCAAGTTGTATGAAATAGTCAGTATTAATGAATTAGCAAGATGAAGATCCTTCTGAAAGATGATATCTTTTGATATATATAAACACTCATTGAAGAAATCCTTGTGAAATTTCATAAAACAGACTGATATATTGATAATCTCTGCAAGGTTTATCATCTGAAAGGTCTCTGAATTATCTGTAATAAATAGTTGAGTCTCACTCTCACTATTATTCTTTTTCTTCTTTTCTTTGAATTTCTTTATTCTTACAGTGTTGTAGATTCTTCAATTATCTGAAGCACTGTCTGAATTAATCAATCAACAGTTGTCAAAGTGAGATCTCTTATATTCAGAATATGTAGATAAGTTTTCTGATCTCTGATGATTTCAGAAGCTCTTTTAAGTACTATTATAATCATATTCAGTACAGTCTTCACAGGCTGAATTCAATGTATTGTTGACAGTTGTTAATAGTTGTTGTAACTATTATAGCTGTTGTAGCTATATTGACTGTAGAATCTATATTCTGCAGATTCTTTTTATCTTTTGAAGAATTAAGCTGTGAATAAATCTTCTTCATGAGAAGATCAATATTCAATATTACAGCTATGAATTTGAAATTCTGTATCTTCTCTATCTTCTTCTGAATATAATTTCTTCAATTGTTGAGTAGAACTGAGTAGAAGGTATCAAATATTCATATATCTGAGAGAGAAGCATTCAACATCTTCAATTTCATAATAACAGACTGAAACTTATCAAAGAATATGTGTAGATTGATGACCTGTGTGTTATCAAGAGACATGAATTCCAGAACTGTCTCATAATATAACTGTGTTTTAAGAACAGAGTATTCCTGTTCAATTGCATTTCATAGAGTATAAGTGATTTGATTTTTATCATATTTGAAGAAATGTGGTCTGACACCTGCACTCAAGAAGTTTGAGATGAATGTGTAGAGTCATCAGTTTCTGATGTTTCAGAATGATGCTCATTCATCATCTCTTTGTAGAGAATTCTGAGTCTGTTGTTTCTCTATCATATATCAGCACTGTGTATCAATCAGTTTTGATTTCATGAAGATGCTTCATGTGATGTAATTGAATGTGTCAGTCAGACTGTTTGATCTCACAGTATTCTTGACATCTTTCTTAAATTGAGAGATTGCCTTGTCAACACGGCTATTCAGTTCATAAAGGTTGAATTTCAACCTTTCACTGAGATTAGAATTTCATGTGACTGTTAATGTAATGACAGAATGATTGTTAACATTCTGTGATCAATCTGTAGAGAATCTCTGTTGATGAAGTTTTTCCAGTTGTAGTTCGAGTTCTAGAACTCTTTGCTTCTTCTTGTTCATCTCAAGTATTATCTTGAGATGCTCCATCTGTTGATCTGATATTGCCTCGCCCGAACAGTAGACATCATAAGAACCAGCATCAAGCTGTTGAGTAGATTGAGGGGCCGGCCTGACCGTGTCAGAAGCTGTATTCAAACCAGCTTCGAATCGAGAGAGTGTTTCATCAATGGAGCTTTCAAAGGCTTCAGAAGAATGTCCACTGACAGAGTATAAGTGTGAAGAATCATCATTATCAACTGCAACTGACTTAGTGGAAAGAACATGAGATCGCGAACATGTATGTGAGTGAGATCATATTGAATCCGCCATCTTGATATTTGTTTATTGAATTCTCGATATTCATTTATTGAATCCTTGCCAATATCATTCTCTTTTTCTTGCTTTTTTGCAAATGTGGTGTGTTTTCTACAAGCCTCTTTTTTAAGTAAGCAGTAGTATTATTGATCATCAAGATCTTAAATGCATCAATACTGATAGAATAAGATGATTTTAACTCCTGATGAGTGTATTGAATGAAGCAGTAGTTCAATAATGATTATATTGACAAGAAATTCTGAATTGGCAGTGATTTTGTACAAAACAGAGCTCATAATCTGTGAAAGATGTAAAGCTTGTGTGATTGAAAGGTTGCTAGCTTGTGAAAAGTTATATGGTGAAAGGATTAGTAAGCCAGATCACGTGACCTGACAATATGATGTTGAAAATAGATTAAACATGTGATGTATGAAAATGAATGAGATATATATTATAATATTTATCTTTTTCAGTTAACTCTTATAATTAATAATTAATTTATTATCTCTTTTCTTTTCTTACACTTTTTCTTTATCTGTTAGTCACTACTCTTATACAATCTCTATATATTACAGTGTTCAGTGACTAGATTCAGCAGCTTTCATCTTTTATAATTCTGTCTCATGTATTATACTGTCTCTCTTCACTCACTTAGACTACTACAGTGAACAGCTTATTGAAACTAATCTCATCTGATCTCTGAGTGTCTTCAGAGGTTAAGATAACTTGATCTCATATGTGTGTGAATGTTTCAGATAGTTCATTCTCTGTGATCTCTGTGATTAAACTGATGTAAACAGTTGAATTCAACTCTGAATTTCTTTTTCTTCTGCAATCTGATTTATATATAAGTCTGCTGCTTTAAGACTACTCTTTATCACATTGCATCTGCTGTCTGCAGTGTGTTATCATATAATCAGCTACAGTCTTATCACTTATTAAAGTGTGATATTTATCTGATTTCTTCATTACTTCTCATTCTTTTCTTATAATCATGAAAAGATTGAAATAAGTGAAATCATCTAGTTTATAAGTGTCTATAATTTCTCTTACTTCATAAGGCTTTTCAATTGTAAGTCTCTTTTTTTTCAACACTGATAATAGTGCTGTGAATAATTATAATCTGCTCAGATCTTGCATCTTTACTTTCACAAGTTATAAATTATTGATTAAGTTGTATAAGACTTATTTCTCTGATTCTTTCAATGCATATGTTCTCAGAGAATGTGATTTGAGTATTTTATATAGCTTAAATCACCTAGATTGAAACTTCTCAGAACTCTTATTATATATAAGAACTCATATTCTTATCTTGAGACTCAATTTCTTAACTAATAAGTCTCATATTCTTTTCAATTGAATTGCTCAGTTCAGAAGTAACTCATTAGTCCTTACATATGCATGACTGATCTCTTTCAATCTTGATTCTGTATCTGTGACTGTTGCATCTGCAACTGCTACTACTGCATTTATAACTGCTGTTTCTGCTGCATCTGTGACTATTGTGTTTATAACTACTGTTTCCTTCTTCATCTTTTCTGAAGCATTCTCCGGGATGTGTGAATGCAATTCATACAACAGATAGAATGATGAATACTTGAAGACTGTATACTGTTAAATCTGCATGATCAATAGTATCTGTCTGAGATATTTATCTTATAGTCTTATAGACTTGCTCATTAGATATTTCATCAGCATGTTGCTCAAGATTCTATTCAAGTATTTCATCTTCTCATTCATTTATGAATGATATAGTATTGTTCTACAATGTCTTATCTATAACTGACTTATAAAATGCCTTATCACTTCTTCTATGAGATTCACACTGTTATCAGTTAGAATCTCACACAGTATTTCATAGTTAATATAGATCTCATTATATAGAAACTTTATCATTATCTTCTCTATTATTTCTGAAACTGCTTTCATGACTGACTAGTCAGTAGTAGACTGACCGTGTGACCGTGTCTGAGACCAGAATCAGATTTTTTGATAGTCTCATTATCAATTCAACTGATCTCATTACATGGTTTTATCATTAGATAGTAGTCTCATACTGTCTCAGTGAGACTTACTGTCTACTCTTATCACATTTTCCAAATGAGACCATGATTTCCACTTCTCAATTTAAATTATTTTTATTGCTTTAAATGACTTTAAATCTCATTTGAGTGTTACCAAAAAGCGTTACTTTTTAAAAAATTAAAAATAGTCTAAAAAAAACCTTAAAATGTCTAAAAATAGTAACTTTATGCTAAGAATGAAACTAAATGAGATCAAATGAGATCACTTTCTCATTTTTTTCAAGTCATAGTTTCATTTTAAGATCTGATATATAGTCACTTTACATGGTTTTTTGATAGCCAGTCCCAGCGGGATTCACGCCAAGAAATATATGAAATCAGACCAAATGAGATCAAATGTGAAATTCATGGTCCCAGCGGCCAGTCTAGTCAGTAGTGTAATCAATAGCAGTGATTATTCATCAATTTTCATTTAATGTTTATAATAATATGTCTATGAGATTCATCTCTTATTGTTTAAACAGTTATATTATACACTTTATCTGATATTACACTTCTTTACATTCTAATCCTTTCTTAGATTCTTTCACAATCTGATAATTTAGACACTCATGAGTATACATCTGAATATTCTCAGTCATGCTTGACTAGTATACTCTTGATTTAAGTATATTCATAAGTTCAGAGCTTTCTAAGTGACTGAATTCCTTGTGCATGTAAGTCATTAAGTCATGTCTAAATAAAGATTCTAGATAGAGAGCTTCTACATATTCTAGATTGCAGTAAAGCATAACATCATTTTTCAATTTTCTCAGCTTGAAGTTCAGAAGTATCTCTTCTACTACTCTCATGAAATACTTATTATCTGACATCTTATTATTCTTTAAGTAAGAGATTATAATATTCACTTATTCTGATTTCTTACACTCTTTCAGTGTGTTTAATGCAAACTTCTCTTATATCTGATTCATAGAACTCTCACTCATGAAATCAGATCTGTGACTGATTGTATCAGATATCACAGTGTCTGATTTCTTTCAGTATTTAATATGAAGATTATATGCTTGAAACTCTGAGATTCAATATACTAAGTATTTGAAAGGTTTTATCATTAATTATAGATAGATGAGACTTTCATGATCTGTGATCATCATTATTATATACCTGTTGTTAATATATCTATTTTATAACATCAGTATATGCTTGATTGCTAGCAATTTCTTTTCATACACTGAGTAATTGAGCTCAGTGTCTGATAGTTTTCTATCATTATATATCACTGAGTGCAGCTTGTCATTCTTACTCATCTGTAGAAGAGTGTCTCTGATAGCTCATTTAGATGCATCTATCTCAATATAAAAAGGTTTATTATGATCTGATTGAATAAGCACTGAAAATGTTATTACATATTTTCTCAGTGTGAGAAAAGTCTCTTCACACATGACATTTCAGATAATTGAATGAAACTTCTTCTTTCACAGATTTGCATCTATTTCTCTTAAGAGATCTGAGAGTGATACTGATATTTATATGAAATTCTTGATGAATCTGCAGTAATATGAGACTAACTTAAGAAACTATTATATATAATGTACATTTCTCAGCTGCAGTCAATTCACTATAATATTCAATTTCTCTGAAATGAAGTGTATACAGTTATTACTTACTACATATTCTATAAACTTCAACTCTTTCATTTCAAACACACACTTGATTAGTTTGATATAGAGCTTATACTCTGTCAGAGTGATAAGCACTTTATCAAGATACTTCAGATATTTATTATATGAGTTTGAAAAGACTAGAATATCATTGAGATATACAAGATATAAGGTTTTATTCTGTTTATAAAGAATCATATTCATCATCATTTAAAAGATAACAGGTACATTTATCAGACTGAATAATATTATCAGAAATTCAAACTTCTCTCATTATATATTAAATGCAGTTCACAGAACTGATAGTTCATTTACACAGATCTGTCAGTATTCTGAGAGAAGATTAATCTTTGATAGATATTAAGTATTTTCAACTGTATTCAACTGTTGTTGAATTCATGACAGTGAATATTTATTCTTAATCATAAACTTGTTAAGTGTTTGATAATTAATATACATCTGTCACTCTTCATCTGCCTTTTTCATGAATAGAACTGAAAAGTCTCATATACTTAATAAGAGTTATATAAGATCATGTTCTAGAAGATCTGTGATCTGATACTTCTGTTCTTCAAGATGCATTTATAACAGAGAGTATATATTCTAATTGACTGATTTTGTATTTCTCATATTAATCTCATGTATAAATTCTCATTATTATTATTATTATTATTATTATTATTCTTCAATTATAGATGTATGCAGTCAGAGACTATAACATCTATCTGAGAATCTTTAGTTCTCAGAGTTTTTCCTATATCTATAGAGTTAACTATTATACATTTATCAATTTCAAATATGCAAAATCAGAAAATTCCAGCTCAGAATATAAAAACTGTTTATAAATTACAGTATTTTAACACCTTCTAATAGTTTGAAATCATTGAAAATATTATGACAAAAGAAAAGAGAACATAGTCTTAAAGATAGACATATTAAATAGATAGAGAAAAGAATAGAAGAAAATAAGTACAGTAAAGAGAGCTATAGAATAAGATCTCTGCAGTTTATATCTTAAGCTATATACATATTTTAATATTCTATATAACTGACTGCTGTCTCTGTTCTCTCAGATCTGCTTCAGAAGTTCAGAGATTATCATTCTCTCTAAAGAGCTGCTACTCAGCTAGCTTCTGTAACTAGCTTACTTATAAGTGAGATTCTCACTAAGAATAATATCAGAGCTACTTAATTCTAGTTAAGTCTCTAATCTTTCAGCTGTCAATCTCAGCATTTCAGTCTATCAATTGACTGTCACAGTCTTGCTTATACTAATCATCTATTAAGAGTATCTAAGTCTCATCTCATTTAGATTCTTACTAGACTCAGAGTGTTCTAATCAGATAGTTTTTAAATCTTCTTTCTCAGAAGTGAGTGTTTAGAGTGAGAGAAATGAGATCTGATCAGTTAAGCTTGATAATAATTTACTATTCTGCAGATATTCTAGACCTTAATCACTCTAGTACTAATCTAACTTAAAGTGTCTGAGAGGCTGTTAACTCTAAGATTAGTAAGAATTAGCATCTGAGAACCTCTGAGATGAATATCTTAAGCTTGATAATAATTCACTATAGTGCACTCAGAGGTCCTTGATACTGTTTTATAACTTAACAGTGAAAGCTGTGATTAAGATGACTCTTGCAGAGTTCAAACCTGCTCTCTCTTAACATTCATTCCTCAGGGGGAAGGCCGCTAATTAAGGCTTCATGATAGCATAGTTAACCACTACGTCACCGGGCCTATAAATCCTCATTCTGACAGTAATTTCAGTGAAAGATCTGTTTAGAAGATCTTCTCATGCTTCTTCAGAAGCTTCTTTATACACTTATTCTCTCATATATTCTTTATCTTGATTTTCTTCACTTTCAGATTCTGTATAATATACAGAATGCTTTTGAATGAGATCTTATAAATTATTCTCTTTGCTTATTAATATGTAAGCAGATTTAACTCTTCTATATCAGAGATGTGAAATGTTCTTCTTATATCAGTTGATAGAATTGTACGAACTGTTTTCTTCTTATTAATTAACTGTATATAATATGTACATTATTGAATCTGTGAATTGAATCTTTAAAATCAATTAAGTTTAAGAATAAGGTTGTATTTCATGTTCTGTAGCTCTCACACTTAAATATAACAAGATCATTCTCTAAAGTGCAAGAGAACTCTTACTCTTATAGATGATATTAAATATCAGTTATCAGATAATTTTATATATCAGAAATTCTTCACTCAGCAGACTTCTTTCAGTCTTCAGATTATATAATTATTAATATATTACATAGAAGCTTGTAAGAATAACTTATAAGTACTCGCAGGCGATTATTCAGGTGTTTGCAGCTTGGCGTGATATGTACTGTTAACTACTAGAAGTATTCACAGTAGAAAGATAAAATATAGAGGTCAAATATATAATAGCATTCAAGCTGAGTTATGAATAGTATTCATGAACTTCAGTCTATATAGTTGTGTGTAGTCAAGGGCTGCTAGCTCTATTGATTATGCAAGAGATAGAAATAGAGGTAAAGAATTTATAAGAAGTAGAATTTCTTACATACTTCTCTCTCTCTAAGACTTTATTCACAAAGCCTTTCACTGAGTGACTTCATAGTCAGCTCAGCACTGCAGTGATACTCATTAAAAATTCTTTACATCTATAAAAAATCTCAGTGAGAAAAAATCTCTTATTACTGTGAAGAGAAAAGAGTCTGTCACTCAGTTTCTTATTCTGTGAGATTCTTTGTGATCTATAGATTCTTCTCTGACTATTATACAGATTCATCTCACATCTTTCATATAGAAGAGTTCTGATTGACTCTTAATCATTTTCATGAGATTCTTATAT